GGTGCTGCTGCTGTTGCTGCTGTTGCTGCTGCTGCTGCTCGAAAAGATGAATAAGGATAGCTGTCAGCCGCAGCAAAAATGTCAAAGTAAAAACTCGTTTAATGCATGAGCAGCAAAACAAGCAGCTGCAGAGAAAGAGGAGGGGACAGGGAGCACCAAAGGAGACAAACGAAACCTTTTGCTGCTGCTGCTGCTGCTGCTGCCGCTGCTGCTGCTGTTGCTGCTGCTGCTTGTGTTTTGCAGCTGGGGTATCTTGCCGCAGGTTTTCTCCGCAGCCAGGGCAAGGACTGGCGAATTGCAGTGTACATACAGCTGGGGCTGCTGCTGCTGCTGCTGCTGCTGCTCTCTTTCCTCACGCCTTCCGTGTTGGACACAAGCAGCCGCCGCCACAAGCAGCAGCAGCAGCAGCAACAGCAGCTAACAGGGGAGGAAGCAGCAGCAGCCGACGGCGACAGCCGGGACCTGCATTTTGAAGTAGACCAGGAGCAGCACGAGCAGCAGCAGCAGCAGCAGCAGCAAGGGGCTGGGGGCCCCACTTCAGAAATCTCCACGCCGCAATTTACTCCAGGGGGAGATTCGCTTGCTGCTGCAGCGTGTGCCTCTTCTGCTGCTGCTGGCAGCGCTGCAGCAACCGCAGCAGCAGCTGCAGCGTCTGCTGCTCAAAGCAGTGCTGCTGCTGCTGCTGCTGCTGCTGCTGGGTGTCCTTCCACAGTCTGCGCCTCCCCGTCCCCCCCTCCGTGCAGCGGCGTCGGCGCTGCTGCTGCTGCTGCTGCTGCTGCTGCGCCCGTGGGGCCCCACGGGGGGCCCCTGAGCGGCAGCAGCACCCCCTCAGGTGTACGTACACAGTGCCTGCTCTGCAGCAACTTGGTCTACCCGCTGCTGCCAGCAATTGCTGCTATGGCGATAACAGCAAATCCGGAAAATAAGTTTTATGGAGGGGCAAGAGAGTCAAGAGAAGCAGCACCGAGGCGGGCCACGCACAGCAGCAGCAGCAGCAGCAGCAACACCCGCAGCAGCAGCAACAGCAACAGCAGCAGCAGCAGGTGCACCCACTCCAAGAGGCTCTACAGATACTTCAGCGCCCCTGCAAAAACCCCAGAAGCAGCAGCAGCAGCAGCAGCAGCAGAAGGGATGCAGCCAGATAAGGGCTCCCTTAGGATTTGCCTTACTTGCGACCAGCTGCCGCTGCAGCGGGACCTGCAGTGCAGCAGCAAAACGCCACTGGGGAGCCTGCTGCAGCAGCAGCAGCAGCAGCAGCAGGGGCCTCTGCTGTGCCCACAGGAGG